CTGCTCTTTACAACCCTCTGTTACTAGACCAAATCCAAGTCAGTTTGCCCATTTTTATTCCCAGAACTCCATCTCCGTTGGTCTCAAGCTTCTGATGATCACTTTGCAAAAACTGGATCAAATAAATTCTCGCCCAATTCGATTGAACAATTGTCTACCTCTGACCATGGACAGTGATTATGGTAAAGTCTTTGCTTGTGAGAAGGTGTAAATTTCCATCTACCTTCCGACTTCATTCACATTGACACACCTTCTCTCATGCTAATGGTCGCGAATGTGACCCACTCGCAAAAGCAAATCAACCTCCACACTAGTAACCGTGTTCACACTCTACTTACCGGTATCATCCGCTAACAGCGCTCTCTTCACTTATACCCTCAGGCCCATCTCGACGCTCCGAACAGACTTATCGGCCTGGTGATCCCGTAGGAAATCCTACACGTCCTCTTCAGCCACACCAGCCGCATCAGCAGTCCACTTCCTCGCCCATACGTGGCTCAGAGACTCGTGGCCCGGCAGCGTTGGCTGGTCTGTCTGCAGAGGCAGACGGCCGCCACACGACGAGTCGCCATCATTCTGTCGGGGCAAGAGATGCTCCGACAAAGCGGCCACCGGAGAGGAGGACCACCAACAAAGGGCTTTGCGAGAGCGAGTTGGAGGAGGATGAGGCAGAGGAGGAGGAAGATGATGAAGATGAGGAGGATGATGAAGGACAACACATCTGTCAGGTACAATCCCATGTCGATACAAAATTCTGCAGGCATTCTTTTATAGCTCACATTTGGCGGAACCAGAGGTGAACTTTGGTTGTATATACGAAGAATAAATTTATTTTAATGAATCTCTTGAATAAACATTGTTGTAGGGGCTTTCATTTCGTAAAAGATTGCATAATGAATATATTGTAGGCTTATTCCCATTGTTATGTAGGTCAGGTTCAAATTGACGCAGTCCACAAGAAATCCTTTTTCGTTTCGGATGAAGACAGGCTGAGCTTACGTCCTTAATGTGGCAGGACGGACATCCAAGAGTAACTGATTTCGAAAAATCTCCTGAGATGATTATTGTTATATAGACTTTTGAATTCTTATAAAATTGTATGAAAAAGAGGATGGCTGATTCCCATAATTATGGAGGCGAGATCGACCTTCGAATTTTCCTAACATGCACTTTCATACGAAATGAAAGTTGGTAAATCTGACTCAAGCAGGAAATACTGATTCGAATAAATGGTAAAGGCACAGAGAATGCTCACACTAACTTCCGAATGACCTGATCTTCCGATAAGAGTTAGAATCAGGGCTAATAGTGGACCCTCCTCCTTTTAGTGTCGGTTTTACCTCGTTTCGGAAACTTGGTCTGATCAATCAAGAGACC